AGAAAACCAGTGCTCTGCCCAGTAGTGTTTTAGGTGCGACACAGAGTTTCCTCGGTACCAGTTTGTTTTCCTTTATAGTTCTGTAGTTTCAAGTGGTTAGTGCCTGTGGAACGTAGTTTGAGCAGTGCTTGACAGTTTGTTGTAGCCTCAGCCGTTTTCCCTTGTTTTGTAGTGCTTGGGAGGTTTTAAGAGGTGCCACGACTACTGTCGTTTGGCTCAAGACACGTTGGACCAGCAGTGAGCTGTGCGTGCTCAAAGTGAGGAGTGTCCGAGTGTTTTGTGAGTTTGCTTCGCTTGCAACAGTGCTTGGTTGAGTTTTTGCTTGGGACCAGAAGGACTGTAGGCCTTCCAGGTTTTTAACGGTCACCGTTGCAAGTGCCACTAGCTTGGAAAAAATCCTACGCTAGAATAAAAACTTTGCTGGAAACAGCTTTTGGGTCTGTCCTGTGGAGAGATCTTCACAACTAAAACCCATTTCGCGAACCCTGATTTATTGGCTTTAGTTTGGAGTTGCCCATCCCTGGTGTTGGGCATCGGTCTGCTGCCCAGCTCAAAGCCAGCGCGGTCCAGACAGCCAGCAGCTGCTATGAGTCCAAAGAAACCCCCTTGAGCTGCTACTTGTGCTTCTGGCTTAAACGGCTCTTCAGTGGTTCTCTCGCGTCTACGAAGTTCGCTGATAAGCCTTCCTCATGCAAGGGAAGCTTGTCAGAGTTTGAGCCAGTGAAAGAGCTGTTCGCTGCTAAATCTGTACGGCTCGAGCACAGAACGTCTGAGCTACATTTGGATGTTGCTTGTGCTGGCGGAAATGAAAGGTTTTGTGTGCACGTGGCACAACAGTTTAGAAATATTTCCTGAAGTTGGTGAACTGCGAAACGCTGCATGTTGCGGACTTAAAGTGAATTCTTGACAAGCCTTCCCACTGCTCCAATTCGACGAAGATCCTGCTTCATTCTAGCAGATCTCCACATGCAAACGTAAAACGCACGCAGGATGGTGCCAGTTGTGCACATGTGACCCCAAGTTCAGCAGTGGACAGACTTTGACAAACCACCGTCACCGTCTTCCAATTTGCCAAGGAAGATGCTGTGCACGACACGCGGGGCACTATCGGGTCGCGTGGCTGTTTTTAAGCTGCACTCGGCAGTGAAAAAGAGATTTTACCTTACCCAGGTAAACTCTAGCACTTGTTAGAGATCTTTTTCACTTCGTTGGTTTGGAGGGCTGCTGGAGGCCCTTGTTTCCAGGTTGCTTGTCACGCATTTCGGTCCTGGACTTCCAAAAAGCTCGCAACCTTGGCACCGGGTGAGCGGAGAAAAGAAACAAGACTTCTTTTTTAGTTGGAGCATAGATGGCGGTCAGCATGCAGGCTCGGGTTCCGCTTCTTGGCCGTCACCGCCATGCTAGCGGGTCAGATGCTGTTGCCTCTGGTTGAGCTCAAGGCGCAGTGGAAAAATTTTCAACCTAGGGTTTACGTTGCCTCTTCCGCAATGGTTTGTTTGGTTCGCAACCTTGCTTTAATTAGCATGCCTGCCAATGGCGCTTGGTGCGGAGTCAGCCAATGTTTTGACTTCTTTTCTTTTTCAAGTAGCACACTTCTGAGCTGGAGTCCCGGTCTGAGCTGGAGTCCCGGCGGTCCCAGCTGGAGTCCCAGCATTCCAAGATCAGCTCGCTGGAGTCTCAATTGCAGACAATGGTGTTTCACTTGAACCCGACGGAAAACCATACAAAGTAGTAGCATGGACTGAAGAAAGTGAGATGCATCCCTTTTTGGTTGTGCATGCTCCTGGCTTTTGTTGCCTCGAGAGTCTAAGATCTTGTCACTGTTGTCATCCGGCATTTTGTGAGCTTGCTTTCTTTCCAGCCTGGGCCGCAGCTGACAAGGTTGATAACTTTTCTAGAGCTGTTGCGCAGATCCAAGCAGCATACTTCCGCCCCGCTGATGCCCATCGCCTGCGCATAATTGCCAGCAGGGCACCGATGCTCATCTGCCCGCTCGCCTCCACCCGCCTGTTTTTATGCTCATCGCGGACCCGCCAAATCCACGCGCCCGCTGATGCTCATCCGACCCACCTCCTGATGCTCTTGATGCTCATCCGGCCCGCCGATGCTTATCCCTGCCCCGGGAGCCCCCTACGCCCCTGAAATGTGCTCGCTGGACTGATCCACCGGCGCCAGATGAGCATCAGCGGGCCTCTCGCTCGCCAAGTGCTCATCCGCTCTCGTCCATCCGATGAAGAGGCACTGGCTGCCACTAGCTGCCGTCAAGTTTGTCCAGATTTGCGCACCAGACCCTGAGACTGCAATCCAAGCGGCTTGACGGACTTGCCGGACTTGACAGCTAGATGTGTGCCAAGATTGTGAAGTCCCTTCTTGTGAACGCTCAGAGTCTCTCGCTTGGAAAGCTGAGCGACTTGAAAAGCTTGACAGTCTGCTTACTGGAGTGGACACAGTGCTACTCTGAAGATGATGCTTCCTCATACATGAATTGCACATGGTGCAGCTCCCGGCTCAGAAATTCACCTCAACATCAATTTTCTCTCGTCCTCCAGTAGTGGCCATGGATTGTGACATCCCAGACCCAGCCACGACAGAGGCGGCTTACCCAGCCTCCTATATCTCGTTGTACTCTCTGACAGCTATCCTGCTTGTTCTGGGAATACTTGCTTGGTTTCTTGGCGCCAACCAGAAGCCACCGTTTTCCCGACTGTACTACCGCTTCTATCCAGTGTACCTGCTGCTGGCCGCAATTGGCTATGGCCTGTGGGCCATCTATTTTCATGCGTTCACAGACGGAGACAACTTTGTTGTCGCCTCTCGTCTGCTGATCACGCTTTCCGTGGATCCATTGATCGGCATCGCCTTCTGCCTTGGCGAAGGCATGCTTGCGAACAAGCGCTTTTGGCAGGTCATGTGGATATTGAGTGGCATTTTCATGCTAGCCGTGCTGTTTGCAGCTGCAACGACATCTTCAGACATAACGGTCATTGCCATTGCTGGCTTTGTGACGTTTGGTGCCTTGGTCTCTTGGATTGCAGCAGCATGGATGCGGCCATCGGTCTATAATTGGCTAAAGGTGATCGCAGGTGCCATCCTTCTTCTGGCTCTAATCGTGTTCGGAATTCTTCAGCCGCCTTGCGGCCCTGCGGCTCACAGCGAATGCTACATCCACTGCCCTGGACGGCCGGGTTTCCAGCATGTGGTGTTTGCTAGCCTCACTGGCACAGGCTACCTACTTTTGATGGCAATGCAAATGATGGAGCCCGACCTCATTGTAGCCCCAGACTTCTTTTCCTGTCTCACTGTTCGGTTTGAGGGCACAACAAGCTCCCCAAGCCCTGCAGAGTAGTGACTTGTTGTACCCACAGGCGGTGCAATACGGTTGCGCCTCGGCCTGGGCTATTTTGCTGCCCCAAACGGGGCGAAGAGTGAAGCAGGAGTTAATGTTTGTAGCCGAACTGCACTGACAGTAAAAACAGCTGTGGAACGCTACACATGCCAGCTCAGTGAAGATCTGTTGTGTGTCTGTGTGTTTGCGATCGTTTGTCAGATGATTGGACCTTGGTGACTTCCTGGCGCATCAGTCTTCGCAGGCTCTCGCAAAAGACTTCTGGCCAGAGGTACTAAATTTCGCTGCTCTGCGGCGCCTTGTCTTGATGCCTTCACATTGGAAGCTACAGCTTTGGAGTGAAAACAGTTTTGTGACCCGAATCGGATCCATGATTTTGAATCTTCCAGAGTATATAGGGCCCCTGAAGCCCACCCGCAAAGAGCAGTAGTTTGAACAGGGCAGCAGGGACCGCAAAAGGGCAGTAGGTTAGATTTTGCTTAAAGCACAGGGCAGGGCATCACTACAAGGTACTTTGATCCAGGAACATTGCGCTGGGAGTTTTAGTATCTGGGCCACAAGTTTTCCCGCAAAACACCCCAAGCCCTGAGCCTTCGGCCCAAAGTGGCGGCAGTTCGGATCCCCTAAATCGTGCTTTCCAAGCTGGCTCAGATTGATGCCGACAAATCGACAGTGTCGAAATCAGCTGCAACTACTCAAAAAGTGCATTGCGGTAAAGACATGGTTGTGGTCACGAGCATACCAACGACCAATGCGGTTTCAAGCGCGGAACGTGTCGTTGCGTTGCTGCTCAGTAAGCTTTAGCATCGCACAGTCTGCAATGGAGGTAAATGCTTTGCCAAACGGCAGTTTCAGCACTCCGATCCGGATTTACATCCCACACATGGGCGATGCCATGGTTCTTTGTGCTTGTTGCAAGCATAGTCCAGGCCCAGGGTTTGGCACCATTGATTCTCGGCATGATATTCGGTTGATCTCTGAGCTTTGCACAGTGTTGCAACTGCTGTCTGAGACACAGAACCCAGTGTTGTGTGTCGGCGGTGTTGTTGCGAGAATCCGGGACAGCCCTGCGATTAGTCTGGGGCTTCCTTCGCTATTTGTTCAAGTGATCAAGGCCAGTGACCGCGTCCCCATGTGTGGACGGCAACGATCAATGTCCTTATTGGGCGGCGATCGGCGAATGCGAGGCTGAGAGCACTCGTTGGCTCGCATTTGTGACTGTTGCTTCAGCAAGTTGGCATGCTGCAATGCAATTAACATGGCAAATTTTTGCTGGCACTTGATAGGTGGTCTTTGGTCGCCCTAGAAATGGTTGAACAGCAGAAGTCTAGCTGGAATTTATTGTCAGCTTGGAGCACAAGTACGAGATATGAAGAGTTACATTCGACACCGACATCCGCATGGTGCCAACAGCTGCGCAAGGCAAACCCACGCTTCATGTTGGAAGTTTGCCGCGCATCTTGCCACGTTTGTGCTGGCGACGAAGGCGTCGGCAGCACGTGTTTGAGCTGGTTGAGAATCCATGTTGTGAACATGTCGGACTTTGGATCCGGGCGTAGGTTCCCTGCGCATGAAGCTTTACAAACAGCTGGAGCAGAACATGAAGCCGAGGCTCAGATTGCGGGCAGCATTCCCGTGCTAAACGGCGAGCTGTGCGTCTACAGTTCGTAGCCATGAAACAAAACATCCCTTCTCTTCGGTTCTGTTGTCAGTACTTGTGCCTTCTCATCCAAACTTTCTGCAGAATAGGTCCAGGGTTCTGATATGTCCGGCATCGCAGCTGTAATGTATCCTTGTTTGTCTTGTCAATAAGGAGAGCAGACTCAACGTGGAAATGTGTAACAGTATGCGAAGAGTTGTTGTTTCAGTCGTATCTTCGTCGGGGATCCAACAAGCCAAGCCTTGACTTGCAGCCCAGTCTGTTCAGGTCCAAGACGGCAATACGCGACGTCCAGTTGATCGAGGTTCAGCAGCAATCCTAATGACAGACCGGATACATGCAAGAGTTCCGCAAGGGCGTGTCGAATGTGTCTACTTAAACCCGGCTGACTTCGATGAGAAGACAGGTTTCCTACAGTCCACGAGCTCTACTTGTGGAAGAGTGGCGCCTGCTTCAATTCATTGACATGTCGAATGCTCCAACCTTTGGGTGGACCTTCTGTTGCGGAGCCCTCACGAGTGGCCATCAGAACTCTTCGTGCAACATCAGTGCTGCTTCAGTGACTTGTCGGATGCTGCGGTAGCCAGGTTTCTGTCCAAAGAAGAGTGCGAGGCAGCTTCTGTGATCGATGTCTCGCCAAAGTGGTGGTTCAAATGCCTGCATGATGAAAAGTTTACATGTGCAGGCACTCAAAAGAATGGCTTCACCACAGCTTCAGGATGCCAAGACCATCAATCGAAGCACAGGTGCTTGGAGTGCTTTCCACTTTCTTGTAGAATGGAGTCTCATTGCCGAGTGTGCAAAGGAGCTGCTTTGCCCGACAAAGTGCGGACGAACTCTCAGATGTACTTCGACCACGCGAGCCACTACCAGGCTCAGACCAGCTTTGACCCGGGTGGTTGCGAGAGATTGCATCGGTTCTGAAAGCTGCTTGCCGAAGTGATGGAGGATCCCTTGGTCGTGGCAATCCAGGAGCGCATGCAAGTTCTGGCACGGATTCCACCAGGGCATGGAGAGCCTCTGCAGGCACAGCAAGTTTGTATTTTCCGCGTCTTCTCTGCTCATGCTGTTGTGTGCATGCGGCGCGAGGTCTCTTCGAAGGGTTGGCTATTGTTCAGATTTACGGACATCTTGATAGATGCCAACTTGTGAAAAGGTGGGGCGGTACCGCGTCGGCGAGCATCTTGGGCTAGCTTGCTTCTTTAATGTGGGACCATGCTTCCACGAAGAAATGCGATGCACTTACTCGCAAAGCTGTTAGATGTCTCAGGTTTTACCAGCCTCACTACGATTCGGAGCCCGCGCAAAATGTGCGGCGCGCAGCGACTGTCCTGGTATACCTGGATCCACCAGAGGCTGGGGCATGAGCATGAGAGTCCAGCAGTCGAAAAGTCTCCGGGAGCCAACACGGCTCTCTGTGATCGTGGCATATCGTGGCATCGCACCTTATTATGTTGTTGGGCACGTCTTGCGTGACTCGAAGGCAGGAGGTGAGACGATCTTCCCAAAGCACCGCAGGTGCCAGGACACTGCCTGGCTTCCGTAGCTTCTGTGATTGCTTCATTGCTTGTCAGTTTCTCTGATCCTCCCTTCACGAAGGAGGCTGACTTCGAAGATTGCTGCTCACGCATCGAGGCAGCAACGGGCACGTAGCACGTTGCTTATTGCCCTGAGTCAAAAACATCTGCCGACCCCTTCTCCGGGGTTAGGGTTTAGGGTTTAGGGTTTAGGGGTTTAGGGGTTTAGGGTAGGGTTTAGGTTTTAGGGTTTAGGGTTTAGGCCTCTGTGTTGTTTTCTGACTCGCTAGCCCTGCTCTCCGACTCGTGCAGCCCTCGTTTTCCGACTCAGGCCTCTCCACTTTCTGACTCGTCCCCTAGATTTGCCGAATTGGTCTCTACCGTTTTAGACTCCTTTTTCTGACTCGCGCGTCATGTTGGGGAGAACGGCGAGCGCGTTGAGGGAACTGAAGCCTGCTGTCCAAGTACTGGAGCTGGCTCCAGAGCCAGGCCGGACACCGTTTAAAATTAGTACTGCCTGTCAGGAGTTGGTGGTGAAAGAGGGCGGCGGCTTCGCCGTCGGGTTCTTGTCACACATGGTGTGCAACTTTTGCTTCCATGTCTTCTCATTTACACCAGGTCAAGGCAGAAGCGGGCACAGCTGTTCTGTTCTTCTCACACGACCTTGACGGCCAGTCCAAGCCTAAGTGGGTGTCGGCAGGCCAAATCGGTTACAGGGTGCTAGGTGCAAGATGCTGGAGTACTTTCAGGGAAGTGCATGGCCATGTGCGGCAAATGCTGCAGGCACAATCCGTTGTCAATGCACGCATCTTGCCCCGTTCTTCAAGGACATGTTTGTGTCGGGAAGGGGTTCGTGCCGTTTTATGTCAGTCGTCAGTCGCACGCTGAAGCTCCTCACCAACGAAAGCAGTTTAACATGCAAGGAGAGAAATGGGTTGCGCAGCAGTGGTTTCGTCTTGAGCGCAGGCCTTAAGTTCCCTCGCCGGGCTCGACTTGAACTCTGCTGTGGTGCTGTATCATACGCTGCTACATGCTCACGTGCGTACCTGGCTTCAAGGCCCTATGCTGGAAGCCCTTTCTTCCAGTTCCGAAAGCTGGAAGGCAGCGAAGGCCTACAGGGGCCTGAGAGAGAGAGAGAGAGAGAGAGAGAGTGCCCTCTCTCTTTCGACGCATTTTTCTGAGGAGACGAGCCTCGGCCTCAAGAAGAGGGCGATGGCTTGGCACCTGAGCTGTAGCGACTGCCCCGCGTCGTTCCGATCGATTCCTAGAATTTCCGAGAGGAGAAGCGTGCTCTTTACACCTGGGAAAGAGAGGGTCTCACAACATGCGTTGTGGCCTCTTCGCCGTTCGTGTTGAAACACACAGATGGCCGGCAGTTCCATCACAGATGCAAGAGGCATGCACTTGTTGGCATCGCTGTCTGATAGAGCCATCTGGCTCCAGCTCGGAATCATGCCGAGTGACCAAACTGACATGCAAGTCTTTCAAACATCGGCACTTGCCCGAGGAGACCCCTTACACCCGCCCGCTGCGGCCTCTCAAGCCCACCACACCATCGCACCCCAACTCAAAAAGGTTCAAGAATTCTGCCTCCGCATGACAAGCAACCCTTTAAACCGCGAGTTGGCTTTCAGAGGTCAAGACTCGAAGAGAAAGAAATAGAGCTCAATAGCTCTTGAGTGCATGCCATCGCCATGTGCATCGTGTCCTCCGAGGCCTGAGCTGAGAAAGACGACTTCCAAACTGTGAGTATTAATTGGTGAAGAAATAGAAAACGAGTTTTCGGGAGAACTTTTCAGCTTTCCGGACACTTGGCTTTTTTGGGCAGGACCGCGCGCAATCTGCACTGCGGGCGGTGGCTCAGTTCGCCAATGTGGCGGGACAGGCTGCGATGCACACTTGCGGGTGTGAGTCGACAACTTGCTTCAAGACTTTTGCAGTGAGTTTCGTACTTAATTCTTTCCTGGAACAGCCCGATGTGTATCGCACTTTAGAGGTGCAGCACGAGGAGTTGCGGACAGCCTCCTTGCAGGCACGACGGAAGACAGAGAAGGGACCAGGAGCCCTGATCCGTTTGATGCCTCTGACTCTGATCAGGTCGCACATGAGGCACTGGCACAGTGCGAGGCCGTTCGCTTTTGGATGTTGTGCTCGGCTGCTAACACCGTTGCTTCAGGGCTCCGTCCCGTGCGGTTTGCTCAGGCGCATGGCCAGCGTTGTGTCCAGTTCCTCCTGGAAGCACTGCAGAAGAGCACCAAGGCCTAGCAGGGCCGAAATGTTTGGAATATTGTTTAAGACTTGCGCGAAGTCTTTGATATAAGTTTTACGTTCAGATTGTGCGGCTGTTGTGCCGCTTTCAAAATTGCACGATTTCGCGTACCATTGTGCTGCTCGTCAATTACATATTATGCCTGTTGCATGTCCGACCCTGCTGGCATGAGCAGAGGCCAGCGCGAGTGCCGCCGAGGATGTAATCTGGATGGTCTACAAGGTTCAACGGGCAGTAAAGGGACAACGGCCTGCAAAGTGGCTTCGGGCACGGTGTGTCACGTTGCCTGGTCTCTGCGTTGCAGGTGGCACGAAGAAGCGACACAGCAAAGGCTTGCGGGTGCCGAACGATCACTTCATTCCAGGGTCATATCCCAGTGCAGGCATGGATACTTCAAGCAGGCGGCGTGTCTGTCTTGAAGGCCGGTTGATGCTCGTGTCCTGTCTCTGGTGACGGTTCTACAAAGGCTTCTTGCCTAGTTATGATGCGTGCTGCGTCATTTGTTCATACTCGTCGGCGTGCCCACGAACATATGTAAGGTATCCCTGAAGTAATTACGAGCATCGATGCGTCGGCTTGCGCGGCCCAGGCCGCCCTTCTTTGTCATGCCAACCAGCCGTTTGCCCCAGAAAGATAAGTGAAATTTGTGCTCGGAAACGCATCTTGTCAGTGCACCATGCAGGGCCTACTATTCTTGCGGTGCTTGCTTTCCGACATTTTCCGAGGGCACAGCTGCTGGAGAACGGCGTGTGGACGGTGTGCCAGCCCTGGCGCTGTTTTGCGCAGTAGGTAGCCCTGAGCATGCACGAGTGCATGCATGTGTGCAACTGCTCACATAAAAGCATTGTCAAAAACGCACGGTGTGGGTAGAAAACAAAATATATGGAAGCCCTCTTCACTTTCAGCTGGGTTTTTGCTGATAAGCCTTTCTGTGCATGTGTTTTTGTGGCTTTTCTTGCATGCATTTTTGTATGCTTTTCTGTCTGCAGATGAGTTTGGTTCAGGCCACGACGCACAAAGCAGCAAGGTCACGGTGCGGTTGGGGGCCGAACGGGGTAGCATGTATGTCTAAGTCTAAATATATGCACACGTATATGTTTATATGTATATATGTATATATGTACATATGTATATATATATATATGTATATATGTATATATGTGTATATATTTGTGTATATGTGTATATATGTGTAGACATGTGAATATATGTGTATATTTGTGAATATATGTGTATATATGTGTATATATGTGTATAATCTGTATATATGCGTAAATGTGTATATGTGTACATGTATGTATATATGTGTATACATCATATACATGCGCAGAGCTACAGGTCTGCGTGCACGCATGATGGCAGAACTGCGTTGGATAGTGCAGTGTACAATGTGTACAAGTATATGTGTATATATATATATATGTGCACATTCATGTTTTGTATTTGTTTAGTTGTAAAAAAAATAAGTTTGCACACTTTTTATATACATATATGCAGGCATTTACATTTTCATATGCGTATGCATATGCATGTGCATATACATATACATATACACGTACATGTGCACATACATGAGCGTGTATGTGTGTACGTAAACATACACAGATATGTACCACCATAAGTACGCGCGTAAATGATTAAATAAATACATACGTGAATACATGTATATATATATATATATATTTATATATATATGGTAACCCCCCATGAACTACAGACCCTCGTTTTGTATCGTAAATACCGTGGTAAACCTGCTTTTTCGGCAGGTCCGGATTCTGTATCTGTCAAAGACTGCTAAAACCAAGCTCACATATCAAGAGAACATTACCAAAAGATGTG